CTGTGTATGGCAGCCCCGCCTCTGTCAGAATGCCCCAGGGCAGCTGTGGCTGCAGTGTAGTTTGCCATCATCAGTGTGTGAATGGGTGAATGTCTGTAGTGAGAAGAGCTTTGAGTGTCCTGGATGGATAGAAATGCACTATATAAATACAGTCCATTTACCATTTTTTATATTGCAGCAGCCTCGAGGCTTTAGTTTTAGTTCTTYTCAAACATTTAATGGCGTTACATTTGTGTGTGTGCAGCTCCTGGTAAACCTGGTTCACTGAGGTTTGAAAGCCCCACAGACACTTCACTGATCCTCTACTGGACTCCTCCACTGGAAATCAARGGCAAACTGCTGGGATATAGGGTGCTGTACCAGAAAGGTAAAGTTAGACTCTTTTAGAACAACAGAACTTATTCATTGCAAGAAGCTGAATGTGTTTTGTAAGTATAACCCTGGTTTCACATTAGGCAAGCTAATGAGCTACATTTGCCTTGTGATATTGTTTCAATGTAAGAACAGAGCTCAAACACTTTACTAACAGCTTTTTGGTTTGTGCTTGATGTGTAGAAGTGGAAACAGGTGACAGCCCCTTGCAGATTGAGATGATCAGGGACCCACATTTAAATAGCATTTTGCTYAACAATCTGGACCGCAGCAGCTATTACATCTTTAAAGTCATAGCACGAACTGCAGCTGGATATGGACCTCCCATAGTAGAAAGAGGAGCCACCATGCTTGAAGGAGGTGAGACCACAGTTTTTTCTTGTTCTGATGTTCAGGTACGATCAACCTGCACACACATTTCTGCAAACCAGAGGAGACTCATTTATAGTTTCCCTTATTTATAGATACTGTACATTTTCCATAAAAAATAAGAGTCACATTGATCCAWCATGTCTGTCCAGAGGAGAGGATGTTTATTCAATTCTTGCAAAGTTCAACTCTTCTACATTTTGTCACATCACAACAAAAACTTTAAATACTTTTTCTGTAATGTTATGTGGTTGACAAATTCAAAGTTGTGCACTTTGTAAAAAGGAAATAAATTGTTTTATTGTTTTTAATAGTGCTGCTCGGCATAGACTAAAATTTTTAATCACGATTAATCTCAAGGTATTTTGAGATTAAACGTGATTAATCACAATTCATTGATATAAACTTTTTAGAAACGYTTACTCTACTATGGCTGAATGTGTACCGTATTTTTTGGACTTTAAGGTGCACCTGATTATAAGGCGCAATAGGTTACTGTATACGTATACTGAATATCTGTTTTCATACATAAGGCGCACTGGATTATAAGGCGCACATTAAGCGAAACAAAACTGTCTGATAAGTCAAAGTTTATTCAGCTCAGTCACATTAACTCTGAACAGTTTTAACACAAAGTCTGAACAGTTGTAACACATAAAAAACAAAACAATACACTCACTTTTTCCAGTTCATTCTTCYTTCACAAATCCCTCAAATTCTTCATCTTCTGTGTCCAAGTTAAACAGATGGGCGATTTCAGATGTCCGGATCCCTCTTGTCGTTATCAGAGACAGTCTTGTTGCTGTTACTTGGCTGCTCAGTGATGATCCCGCCCTTCATGAAAGCTTGGATGACACTTGAGCCTGATACCTTGGTCCAGGCATTCACGATCCACTGGCAGATAGTGGCGTAACTCGCCCGGCGTTGCCTCCCTGTCTTGGTGAATGAATGTTCCCCTTCTGTCATCCAATGTTCCCACGCAGCTCGCAGTTTAGCTTTGAATGATCTGTTGACGCCAATATCTAGCGGTTGGAGTTCTTTAGTTAATCCACCCGGAATGATGGCAAGCTCCGAATTAATCTGCTTCACTTGGGTTTTGAGAGCATCAGTGAGATGGGCGCGCATTGAGTCGCAGATCAGAAGGGACGGAGATTTGTGAAAGAAGCCAACTGGTCTCTTGATGTAAACTTCTCTTAGCCACTCACTCATCTTCTCCTCGTCCATCCAGCCCTTTGGGCTTGCCTTGATGATGACGCCGGCTGGAAAAGTTTCTTTTGGCAAAGTCTTTCTCTTGAAAATGACCATGGGTGGTAGTTTCTGACCATTAGCCTGGCAGCCAAGAACTACAGTGAAGGATGACTTTTCGTTCCCTGTGATGCGTATGGATACCGTACTGGTCCCAGTTTTCTCAACAGTACGATTCACGGGAATATCAAAGGTGAGCGGGACCTCGTCCATGTTGGTGATGTGTTCTGGTCYGATCTTCTTTTCAGTGATCTTGTTTTTMCAGTAGGTGCAGAAAATTAAAAGCTTTTCTTCGTAATCGTTTGACAGTTGCTGCGAGATGGTAGTACATGTGCGCATGGACAGATTATGCCTTTTCATAAAACGAAAGCACCAAGAAGGACCTCCTTGAAACTCGTTGATGTCCATGTCACGTGCTAACGCTATTGCCTTCAGTCGAATAGAGACCGCAGAGACACTTCTACCTGCTGTTCTCTGTTCAATAACCCACTCTTCAATTTTGTCCTTCAACTGTGGCCATCTCGCTTTGTTTCCTCGGAAACTCCGTTTGGTCTTCTTTACTTGGCGCAGTCGTGTTCTTGCTTCCTCCACTTCTGTACCATTGATTCGTTAATGTTGAACTCTCTCGCTGCTGCTCTATTCCCGTGTTCTACTGCGTGACTGATAGCTTTGAGTTTGAAATCTGCTTCGTGAGAAAGTCTCTTAACAGGCGCCATTCTGAGGTCCTTCAACACAATGTTCGTATACAGTACAGTACGTATCACTCCGCGACCTTAGATATCATTGGTAGATATCTACCTTTTGGCGGGCGATAGCACAAGCATCGTCACCAATAAGCAGCGTCAGGCCATAGGGATTTCTACCTATATGACATCTGTGCTTCTGACTGTTATSTAGTTGACGCGCTGAAGGCGGCGTGAGGCTGTGTACTTGCAAAATACAGGAGTTACACCATCCCCGCACCTGTGTGTTAGACCCATGCTGGGTCAAAATTATTACATAAGGCGCACTGGATTAAAAGGCTCACTGCCTACTTTTGAAAAAAATTAAGGATTTTAAGTGCGCCTTATAGTCCAAAAAATACCGTAGGTTCACATGTTGAAATGCCCTCCATGTGTGACACCATGTGTGACACCATGTACATTTTATTCATTTGTTTTTCTTTTTATCTTCTTATTGCCTTTTTCTGCTGACATCTTTTGTTCGTCATGTAGAACTCATTTGGAATGAAAAAAAAACAAAAAAATCCTTGAATTCTTGATTTAATCTCACCATTCAGCACAAAATTTAACTGACTCAAAAAATATTTAGAGCATTTTTTAGGTACTGTTTTATATTAAACCAGGGGCAGTGCATTTTCATAAACTTTAAACAAAGCCAGTCTTACTTTCTGTTTTTTCTCCAACACTGGTCAGCCTTGTCTCTAGTATGTCCCTGTGTTTACGCTGGTTTGAAACTGAAGTGATATTTCAGGCTCAAACTGCTCCGGTGGTGAGAGGGTTTAGTGTTGCAGTTCTTACAGAGCTTTACTTCCTCCCAGCCTGCCACTGGAAAAAGTTGGAGGCAAAACTTAAAAAGGCTGAAGACCTAAGACCGAGGTTCACCGTCCAGTAACAATATAAAGTGAAAAAATCCTGTCCACTCAGAAAATTGTTGGATAAATACTGTGCCTCAAAAGCCTTATTAATGAAGCATCAGAAAACAGTYATAAACTTTCTTAAGATGAGAGTCTAATCATTTGAGGTTTGGTTGTCTGATTTGTCTTATCTTTGATTMAATTTATTGCTGTATGAGCTGTGTTGGAATGTTGATTCTGTYCAGCACTTTGGTCTTCTGTTGTGCAAAAAGTGCTTTACAAATAAAGTCGGATTGGATAACATAGGGCAAAACACAGAAACCTAAATTTCCCCTAATGTGTTGTGTGTGTGTGTG